GTTCAACCGTACTAGATGAAAACAGTTAATAAAAGGTTATTCTCATAGTTAACAGTTTGAATACCATCTTATTTATGGATTTTGACCGTTTTATTTTAATATTGTAGCATAACGTTTAAATAAAAATATCTAAAAAAAATTTTTTTGGAAATTTTAACAGCGTATCATATGGGAAACTGCATCAATTATTTGGATGATATTGAAAAAAACTATTAATTTTTATTGAAATACTTCTCACAAAAAAAAATTTGGTAGTAATTAAAATGATTTTTTAGAAGAAGAAAAAATTTCGTCATTATAGAAATGATTTCAAGATAAAAACTGCTTGGAGTTTTTAGGATAGCTTCCACAAAAAAAAACAAAAAAAAAGACTATTTATCTATCTAGAAGCTAATATATTTTACTAGCTTATTATATATTGTCGAAGAAATCATATTTGTGCCTATACTTTAATGTTGAAGAGTACAGTTTCACTTCCAATTTAAATCAATTTTATCATTTATGCACTAAAACGATAACTGTAATTAAAAAAACTTAAAAATGCAGGTTAAAAATTTCCAATAATTAAAATATTATTTAAAATAGTACCAAAAAATAAAAGTATTTATATTTCGAAACAAAACTTAAATCGATAACAAGAAATTTTGACTCAATTCAGATTGCACCTGAGTTACCAACCCCCTTCTACATTATTTCAACTGATCTTGTATCTCACTATAGACAATAAACCAGGTGGTAGGCATATCATGAGATAAAATTCCTTTGCCTCCACCTAGCTAATCGTGGAAGTTTTCGTGGTTTTCATCTCTATGCAGCGAAAATGAAGATTAGTTTCATTAAAAAGCCCGGAGAGAAAACGAATTTGGTCTACTGCTTAATCCAAGTCATCCTTTGTCTTCTGGGTTGGGTCCAAAATTAGGAGTCAATGAAGTTTTGCTGCAAGGCTTTTCCACTGCATGTATGGGCTAAACAGTATTTAATAATTTTAAAATGAGCAATATATTTTACAGGTAGCTAAGGAAATTAAAGCAGTTTTCTACTTCGTATATTGTTTATTGTAAAATTGTTCATTTGTTAAAATATTTGTATTGCGAGTTACATATTTAACTATAAAATGTATAAACAAAGAAAAATTATATTTAATAACTTATCAACCTGAAATTAATTCTAATTTAGTTTTAATTTCGACAAAGCACTGACACTTCATATACTTTTTTTAAGAAATAACCATTAGTATGTCATCAAGATTTTTATACACTCAAAAAAAGGAAAACATTATACTTCTACAAAAGAAAATGAAGAATGATCGAGATACGTTCTGAAGCATCCATTAAAAAATTCTATTTCTATAAAATCATTTACCCATCAAAAGAAATATAGATAAGAGAAAATATTTGAAAATATTTCAAGCTTCAATACGAATTCTACCTTCCTCTTTTCATTAATAGAAGTTACTGTGATGTTGAAAACACACCTAAAATACTGTGAATCTATAGAAATGCCTCCTCATCTGAAGCTTAATGACTTCTTCAAAAATAGTTCTCAGACTTTCAGAACAACTTGAAAAGAATATCTTGATTCATTGAAGCCTCGAAATGGAAGATGACAGAATTAGTTGTTATAGTTTATAAATATGATCTTATAAATGTATAGCTTGTGCAGAAGTGAACTAATATTGAAAAAGCTTTTGATATAAATTATAAAAGGGATACATTGTATTTGCTTTATACATTTAATCGGAAAGAAAATATTAAAGAAACAATCTAATGAAGATTAGGTGAATAAATAATACGGAAATAATAGACTAATTGGAACTTAATGGACATGCTTCTTTTTATATGCTCTTTAAAAGATTCCTAAAAAAAGTCTTAAGCATTTCATATTATTTTAGTTAGCTTCTGGTGGGACCGGCACAGTCTGGTTGACAGGGCGCAAGACTCACTTTCGTGAGAAGGGCTGGCCGAAGACTCCCCGTGTAGTAAATGGTGGCTGGTGCACGTTAAATCTGTCTGGTCACAAAGTCCTCTATTTTCCCATAACAAATTACACCTCTGGGACTACTGACTTTCTAGATTAATCGTTCTCTGTATCAGGTCAAAATTACGATTTGAGGATGACAGAATGGATATATGAATGGGTTCACCCTATAAACGGGTGTGATTTATGGGTGTGGCAGAAGTGTGGCCATAGATGGCGCCACTGGAAAACGGAACAATCGCACCATTTGCCTTAATGCCCTATGACAACAACAACAATTAGCTTCTGGTTTAAATTTAAAAAATGCAGCTCACTTACAAGTAGCACGTAGTTTCCGGATTTATATTTTAACGAATTTATTTATATATTTTAACGAAACGAATTCTAAGTTTAGAAAGTATGGATTAGAGTAGCTTGTTTGTTGTTGCTTTTTTTTTTCTTAATTTGTTCAAACATAGACTTTTAAGGAATTTTCTCTACATTTTATTACAGAAATTGATTTTTAACTCATCAATGATTAGCTAGAAATAGTAGTAAATATACGATAACCATCTATATTTTAAAAAAAAGGGCTAGTACAAAAAGTATATATCTTTCTGTTTCGCACTCTTTAGTTTTAAAAACTATGCACTGTGCTTCAACTTCAGATCCAAATATAAATGGTTATATAATTAATGTATTATGGTAAACAGATCTATATAGTTTCTGTAAAAAATTTACTAGTAATAATATACTTCCGCAACTACATTTTTCTTTTTTGAAAGAAGAAATTGTCTTTCTAAAAGAACATTATGCACAAATGGGTTAAAGTTTTTTTTCAAAGAGCTTCTCAAAGTACTTAAAATATACAATTTTTTTTCTAAATTTTTACAACATTGAAACAGCATTCTATTTATTACATTATTCTATACATTACATTATAACATTACGCTATCAGTGAAGACTTGTTAAATATCTATACTACAATATATTACCTTATTCCATATATTACATTTCTATATATTACATTATTCTATATATTACATTATTTACATATTTTTTAGTTACTTTCACCAATTCAAACACTCCAGAAACTTTGCAAACAATCTTTAAGTTGCTATATGTTCTGCATTCGGTATCAGTATTTAGAAGTTGGGTACTTATGATCGGTAAAATATATATATTCATTTGGAAACGGGAATTCAATTGGAAACTTAGAAAACGTATGTTGCCGCAAATAAATATACGATGTAATAAATTTCACCTTTGTATTTTGTTTGAAATAAATGTAGGTAGTAAGGATGAGTAGTAGGCGCTTTATAACGATGGTTTATGGTATGGTGGTTTATATGTGTTTAAAGACTTTTCTAGTTACTAGAAAATTAGAATAAAAACATATCTTGAAAATAGTATCATTGTGAAACTAACTCTAAATATAAATTACAAATTTAAACCCATTGCTAGTGAGTCTTTTTTTTTTCTTTTCAAATTCATTTAAGGAATTTTTGAAGACTTACTTCAATCAAAGACTGTTTCCAACCAAAGATTCATCACTCCAGAAGACTTATTACACCCAAAGACTTTTTACATCCAAAGACATTTTTCAGAAGACACATTCCAGTTCAATATCAATGTCACAACTATTAGTATTACATTTTATTATGACACAATTATTATTAATAGCAAAATTATAATTATTATCAATATAGAATTATTATTATTATTTATAATAGTTTTAAGGAAAACGTTTTACACCCAATGATTTATTTCATTTAAAGACTTATTACAATCAAAGACTTTTCCTGAAGGCATATTCCAGTTGAATACAAATAATATAATATCTATATTATTTATATGAGTTTCCGTGAAGACTTTTTCCACCCAAAGACTTTATCTATCCAAAGACTTAGTCTTGAAGACACATTCCAGGTCAATATCTATAATACAATGTCATACCTGCCAAATCTTCCGGATTTTCCGGAAGATTTTATTTTCATATTTAAAGTGGTAGTAAATATATACTATTTTTTATTTTATAAACTTAATTTTTAAATGATTTTGATCACCACTATTCTTACAAAAATTAAGCACATATATTAATATGCGTTACTATCATGGTTGTCAACTTACGTTTTCTCAAATACAACGTATTTGTTTGCTTAAAATTGAAGTTTTAGTTTCATTTTAATACCACTGGGGAAAATGATAATGGAAGGGATTAAAAGTTGGCAGGTATGCAATGTCTTTCTTATTTATATGAGTTTCAGTGAAGACGTTTTAAACCCAAAGACATATTGCACCCAAAGACATACTACACTCGAAGACATATTACCCCCAGACTTTATCCAAAGACTTATCTTTGAAGACACATTCCAGATCAATATCTGTAATACAATGTCTTTCTTATTTATATGAGTTTCAGTGAAGACGTTTTAAACCCAAAGACATATTACACCCAAAGACTTGTCCTTGAAGACACATTCCAGGTCAATATCTGTAATACAATGTCTTTATTATTCGTATGAGTTTCGGTGACCACTTATTGCACCCAATCATTTATTCCACCTAAGACTTGTTATAACCTGAGACACCTTATATTAAAAAACTTTATCCTTCTGAAGACGTATTCCAATTCGATATCTACAATGTCTTTTTTTTTGTATTTACATGAATTTCAGTAAAGTATTTTTGTCCAAAAGCTTACTCCAGAACAATATCTCTATCATTCACATAAATTTCATTTTATACTTTTTTTTAGGTAATGAACTTAAACTTATATTCAAACAAATTATCTGAAAAATAAAATATTCTATCGCTTAAAATATTCACAGAGAGCCCTCTCACGAAATAAGATAGTTTGTTTTATATTCTTTCCATCTATTTCTTAAAAATAATTGTAATTAACTATCTAATAGCATTTATAGTCTCAATAAACAAATTAAGAACTTTTTTACCTAAAAATAAAATATATCTCATACATATTCAATGAAATTTTTCCGAAAAACCTGAAAAAAAAACTCATAAGAATTTTTTTCTCATTCTAGGTGTCTCGTGAGCCAAAATGCTGCTTACCAGATATTTGCAACTTGTGCCACATTTTATGTACCCCTTGTTGTAATCTTAATTTTATATTGGCGAATATTTCAAGTAGCCAGAAAGAGAATTCGGCATAAGCCAGGAGCAAAAGCCCGAGCTATACAACCCTCAGAAAAATCTATGGTCCATATTGTAACACATGACACTAAAAGCTCTCCATCAACTCAAATGACAGAGACAACAACGTCAGCAACTAATGGAACAACTGCAACAATAGAAACGGTAAAAATTTGCTAATTATATCAATAATTATTTCATTTTTCTTATGAATTGATTTATCACTCAAGGTTTTTACAGACCATAATTTTAAAAGGTGGTAACAACATTGAAACTAAAATCGTTAGTTTATACTTTTATATTCAATACAAAATATCATTTTTAAATTAAAACATATCTATAAGCGAATTCCATAGACCAAGTCCTAAAATGTTAAATTGATACCAAAAATCAAAAACGAGAAAACTGAAAACTTAAACCATAATTTTTATATCTAGTAAGAGTTCGATATAACGAGCAGAGAAGGATAAAGGAAAGAAAGATGATATAACGAGTAGGGAATGAGAAATACGATATAACGAGTTGGGACATATTACGCTAATTCAACAAATTCCTAAGCGCAGTGTGAAATTCAGAAAAGCTTGAAGTTTCTGTCTTAAAATCATTCCATAGTTAAATCATTCACTTGAGGCAATATAGCGAAAAGTCACACTTTGAAATTTTTAATTTGTTTCCAATGCTGTTAGACAAGAGTAAGCACAACTATTTTGCCGGAAAAAAGATATACACAAAGAAAAACTAATAATAATCAGATTATAAACAACAAAAACTTATCAATAAAAGAAAGAAAAGAGTCAAGAAGTTAAAACTAAATAAAATCTCCCTAGCCTCCCAATATCGGGTGCAAATAAATTCTTTCTTCAGAGCAGGGCAGAGGAAGAGATGATCAACAGTTACCAACTGGTTACTGCAGCACTAGATAAGCACTGTGGTGCCACTATAGAGCATCAGATATTACCTAACATTTAAATTTCCTTTATTTCAAAAATTTAATAATTTCTAATCACTCTTTAAATTAATAATTTATTTAATTCATTTTAATTCAATTTTAGAAAGACTGAATGCAAATATTTCTATTCTCAATAAATGGCTAAATTTTTACTTCAATGCAAGTGCATAACTAAATATTATGCATGAACTGAACATCAAAATCTTTATTAACCTTTCTTTCTTTTCCCACTTTAAACATTAACTTATACTTTATTAGGTTTAGTTTAATTTCCAATGAACTATTTGGCCTTAAATTTTCAGCCAAATTATTTAAATATTAACATGAGATTGCCTTAATTGGCTTTTCTGCCTTAATTGGCTATTTTGGCAGTTTCTTTTTCAATAACGCTCCTATAATGGATTTCTCCTGCATTACAAAGCGTTGATTAACCCTTTCGCACAGGACGGGACATGTGCTGTCCCACTCCATGGGTGAAAGCCTTTATATAGCAAAACGGAAAAGAGAAAAACCTGGTACGTAAAACATTTCATTCCAGCATTTTTTTCGAAAAAAATTAAGTATCTGTAACTATCAAGATTTCCTTTATAATTCTGGCATATACATAAAACTGCTTCTTTTCCAAGATAAAGTAGATATTGTTGAAAAATTTAAAAAACGAATAAGTAAACTCTTCCCCAAAACTAGCTATAACTGAAATGGTTTTACTACCAGCCTTTCCTCTTTTCCGCCTCGCTTTCACCCCTGCTAATTTTTCGCCGCATTGAAAGGGTTAAATATTACCTTTTAATTTGGTTTTTGATTAGTCAAATAATTTAAATATTTACATTAGGTGGGCTTAATTCGCTTTTCTTCTTTTGGCAATTCCTTTCTCGATAATGCGCCTATAATGAATCTCTCCGTGTACTACGAGGCGTTGTTTTAATACTGCCTTTTAATTTGGCTCTTGATTAGGTAAGCTGAGACGTATTTATTTCCCATGGCTGACTCTTAATCATATTGAACAAAATTTATTATTTTTCTTGATATGTCACTTAAATTAGATTCTTTTTATTTTGCATTTCAAGGTCTGCAATGAAATAAATTTTTTATTATAATTTTCATCCTGTTTTCACTTTCTTCCTCAATCAAACCAACTACATCTCCAACCTCACCAACTTGACAATATAAGCAGGGCTATTGGCTATTTTGAGTGTGCAATTAAAGGCATTGATACAATCTTTCGAAAAACAATGACTGCCCAATGCGTGGGATAGTCCGGGAAATTAAGGATGGTATCACACCAGGACTTTTCTTCTGATCTTTCTCTTCACTTGGATAGATTTAAATTTCCTAAAGCCAGATTTAAACCTTGAAACTGCAGATGTATAGCAAACATCCTCAAAAAGTGTTTGTTGGACGGCACACTCTTTTTTGGGCTAATTTATCTGTGATCTAATTTCCTGGGATCACACAGTGAGACGGAATCCACTTCGAAACAACTGTTTTGTGTTTTTCGTGAAAGTTCCATAGTAGAGACCTTCACATTTTTAAAGAGGCAGAAACCAGGACAATTTTAATGAGTTTATTAAAACTGCATCTAAAGGCAGCTTCGCACTACTTTACACTTTTAATAAATATGGAAATTTTTACATCAAGCTGTGTCTGGTAAATACTGCACTTTACAATTTACCAGAATTTTCACATGATGGCAGCACAATAAATACCTAAAAAGCAACACAAGGACATCACGAAGATTTTAACCAGAAACCTTCTAAACAATTTTAATTATGTGGATTGTAATTTTATATTGTCTCAAGCTTTTCAAATGTATGAATTAAACTTGTAGCTTCTTCTGCTAAGTTCTTCTGCGATGGTTTTAATGAGAAAATTTGTTTCTTAAGCAGCTTTAATCTATAAGTATATATTTCTTGAAAACTAATTTACTGACTGTCTAATTAAAGAACTCCTCCCAAAATAGATTATGGAGCTGTCTCCTGCTATAGGACTAAAAGAAAGTTCATTTAAAAGGGGATTGCTTATGATTCTTTTCTCACGGGCCTATTCAAACCTGTCCTAAATGTTTACTCTTACATGAAATAGGCATACCTAGTTACCATAATCACCGACTGTGCTCCAAACGACAGCCAAGGGAAAGTCTATAGTTAAAGACACAGTACCTTAATTCACTAAAGTATAACTTAGAACCCTCTACTTCGAAACTCTTGAGTTATAACTATTAAAAAACTTTCCAGGTCATTGCGCTAACCATGGGAGGTTTTCGTAGTTATCCATTCAATGTAACGCAAATGCTGGTTAGTTCTATCAAAAAGTTTTCCTCGAAAGCTTATTCAGCACGATCTTTGTTCCAGGAGTTACCCTGTCTTTTGGGTTTGGTTCAAAATTACAAGTAAACGGAGTTCAACATTAACTGTCGAGTTCACAATAAAATAAGATTAATAACCCCTTAACAGTGACATATATTTCAGAAAAATGGACCAAAAATCGAAAATTTTTTTGACTGCTTAATTTTGTTCTTTACATTATTATGAAAGTTAGAAAATAGTTTTTAATTAAAAAAAAATTTTTTAAATGCGATAACTACTGTACTTATAATTTTTGCAAACACATAAAAAAGTAATGGATTACATCCACATCTTACTCAATTAGAGTAAATTAAACAAAATTTTGTAGCTAAATATAACGTAACTAGTATAATATAATATAAAAACACAACAATAGGATTTTCAATACAGAAATTTTACAAATCTTTTACAGAATGGTATATCCCAAAACATGGTACTGCACACAAGCCCATATCGCACTCTTTTCATCACCCACATTTTCCCTCCCTCGACTGAGGTCGTAATCGGTGAAAAACTAGGGCCACTAATGCCATCTATTAGGAAAATAGTGAATTAAGTATCCTAAAGTAGAAACGAACACAACTCGGACTTCGCGAAATAGAAACGTTAATTTTTCTCCTGTCCGAAGTCAATTCGGGCATCACCAATATTGCTCGTATTAGTTGCCCGAACTGGTTTCAGGCTACACTTTAATCACTTTTTCAATCAAGTATAATATAATGATAACTTTTATCAAATATAATAATCACTTTTTCAATCAAATATAATATAATAATAACTTTTATCAAATATAATAATCACTTTTTCAATCAAGTATAATATAATAATAACTTTTATCGAATATAATAATAACTTTCATCAAATATAATAATCACTTTTTCAATCAAGTATAATATAATAATAACTTTTATCTAATATAATAATCACTTTTCAATCAAAAAATTTAAAAGGCTGATAATGATTTTATTTGTAATATGTAAAGATAAAAAACTAATACATATCTCAATTATAATATCTAAAAATATAAACAAAGATCGTATTAAAATAAACTATAAATTATTATAATAAACAGGCGAAGAAGTAGTGAAGAGAACAAAACGAAAATTTATGCAATATTTTAGATTAAATCACAAAGAAAGAATAATATTATTCCATATTTTTACAAAGCTAAAAGTTTTGAATTCTATTACACGCTATCTCTCTTCCTCAATATTTGCTGTAAATAAGTAATTTTAAAGAGTTTTTAATAAGAATTTTTGGACAAAAATATTACTTATTTGAAATAAACTTTATTACATTTTAAATATATTTGCGTGAGATCAATAGAATAGGTAAAGCTTAGATTGGACTTCTAAAAATTTCTCATCTTATTCAAAGATTTACTTTAGCTTAGATAGCTAATTAGTATTCGAAATTTCGAATTGATGAGAAAGAAGAGGGAAGTCGACATATTTTGACTATAAATAAGTTATTTCATTTGAAGAAAATTTATGCTCAGGTTGTAGTAGCTAAAATAAAGAGCAGGGTGATGTAAGCAATTTATAGCATGCAAAATATCTAACTTATAAATAAAACTTTAGTTTCATGAGATTTACAGTTAATAAAAGTAATTCAGCTTTAGTTACAAAGTGTCTATGTGAGTTATATCTTCGAATTAAAATACAATTCTTATTAAAACATAAAAAAAATGAAGGAAACAATTTGTTTCTATATATTAGATCAAAATCTATAACAGAGAGTTATTAATTTTATATTGAAGCAGAAATACTTCTTGCATAATAATTCTCAACTTACTAATTTTAAATTATATTATCTATTGTAATCAACAATATAGTTTAATGTAATATACTTCGACCTAAAACATAGTTTTAGTTAAAGCGTAACAGAATGTAAAGAGCAATTTAATCTAGATCACAATCTATAAAAGACATTTACTTCATTTATATTGTGATAGATAATATTCAGGCTAATATTTACTAAAAATTAATTCTCAATATATTGATTTTAAATTACTTTATATATTGTCATCAATGACATTTGTAAATAAGTCATTTTATAAAACATATAAAATGATTGATTTTACCAGATTTATTATCAAATTCGTAAATTCTTTTCGGTTATTTCAATTCATAGATTAACGAATATGCATGAAAAAAGAAAATGGCTTACACTGAAAATGATAAATTAGCTACCACCTTACATACATACATATTCCTCTTCACTCCGAATTGAAGGCACTCTGAATCCGACTTCAACCATAGCTCAACATCTCCCTCAACTTATGGCCAGATATCTTTCCCCTCACCATGTCTTTCCTATTGCTTTCTATTCACTTATAATCATCCTGCGCCAAGTATTTTTAAGGTCTTCCTCTTTTTCTATTGCCTTGAGGGGTTCAATCAAAAACTTATTTTACTTCATATTTTCAGGTTTACGCAAGACATAACCAATCTATTTCCAATTGCTTATTTTTAAATTTCCAGTTCAATTGGTTTCTGTTTTGTTTTTCCAGGGATTTCTGCGTTACAAATTTTATGGAGCCATTTGATTCGTTAAATTCTTCTTAACTGCTGTTAATAAATACTTCTAGTTTTTTTCCTGTTGTTTTTATTGCAGTGTCATGTCTCAGATCTATAGGGTAGGACAGATTTAATATTAGCATTGAAAATTCTAATTATTGTTCAATTTTTTATGTTTATGATCTTTCAGATTTTATTAACACTTTTAATGCCACTCTAATTTTAAATGGCTTGCTCGTGTAGCGACACGGTAAATAACTACCTACTAAATTTGCAAATATTAGACAGATTTTTCTAGTTTTTTATAAGGTTTAGCATGACATGTCTGAAAAAAGTGGTGTATTATATAAGCCTGCGAATTGTTTAGAAATAGGGGAGGATAAAAATCTACTAAATTGAATTTATTAAACCAAGAATCACAATACATAAACTACCACTTGAAAATATTTATTCGCTGTCCAGAGCAAGTTGGCATCTCTGTGTATATAAATAAAACTACTTTTGTGTATTCGATATTGCATTAATTTCTTCGAGCCATTTTTGTAGCGACAATAATATAAAAAATTACAAATTTACTCTAATTATGTGTTTCCAATAATCTTGGCTTCGCCGGTCACCGGTGAGCCCCGTGTTGCTAAGAACAAACTCAGTACCGGTCACCGGTGGCCCTCATGGCATTTAACGCGTTAAGAATAGCGTAACTGCTTCAGGCTTTGTTTAATCTATTTAGTATATCCTCATTACTTGATTTTTTCTGTTAATTATACTTCCAAGATAAGAGAAACTGTTTACCTTCTATATTATTTTTTATTTTCTGAGAATTTAATTGTTTAGGATAAATTTTCGAAATTTTAGTTTTATTTTAGTTGATAATAAGTCCCAATTTCTTCCCAATTTACATTTAAGACGTTTGTGTTTGTTTGCATGTCATGAAAGCTGTTGGTCAGTAAACATAAGTCGTCTGAAAAATCAAGTTCAGTAAAATATTCAGTAAGGTTTCCTTGGTCCCCTTGTCCGGAGGTTTATGTTTATTCAAGAAAACTTATTAAAATTCCAGTGGGTGATCTAGAAAGTTCGTGCCGATTTTCGATAGGTGGATCTCTCAAAGGTCCACAAAAATTATTCAAGTGGTAGTAAATTACACATTAAAGCAATTTGAATTTTTCCTAATTTCGAAACTACTTTAATTAAGATAATATTTGTTTAACATGTATCAGATTTATATATATGCAGTAAATGTCCAGGAAAATTTAATGGTCAATTAAAAGAAGATTTAATGGTCCAAGAAAATTTAATGGTCAATCAATGGAAAATAAACTGGTCCAAGACAATTTAATAGTCAATTTAGTTCAAGAAAATTTAATGATCCATTTTTAAGAACAAGAAATATATTTTAAGCATACATTTTGTTACCACCTGAATATTTTATATATCCGCCTACTGAAAATCCGCACGAACTTTCCGAGTGACCCAAAATGTTTTGATCAAAATGAATTATTTGCTATACTTCGGCTTAGTTGTTCTTTAATTCATTACAGCCTGAAAAATTGCCAGTTCTCATTTCCAAAAACATAAAAAATGGTAGTAAAAATAATTCTTGTTTTTTATCTCATGAAACAAGAATTATTTTTACGACCAGTATATAATATATGCAAAATAATCCTTCGTGATATATTAGAGATTTGAAACTTCTAATTTTAACATACTGATGTCGGGCACAAGGAACCTCAATGGCAGAGTGGTCTTACCGATCCACTAAAAGCTCTGCATCTTAGAGGTAACGAGTTCAAATCCCTCCGTATTTTTGTGATGCCTTTTTCGAATTCGTGCTACCTATTCAATTAATTTTTTTTATAATGAGCACTCAAATATTTATGAGCATGTGCAACAATAAGAATGCCACGCGCAAAAACTGATCCATGTATAACAAAACATCCCTACTGAAAAAGTGGTGGTGCAATTTCGCAAAATAAAAAACGGACCTCCCGAATAACTTGATCTAACGATCGGATCTTCACGTTCTAGGACTCATTCTTAATGATTCGAGAGGGGGAGTTCTAATATGATAACTAATCAGAGCAGATGATATTTTAAGTTATGAAATCAAACACAAAAGCGTATGCTTTCTAAATAAACATTCTTTTTCTTCCCAATGGATTAGGGTTTCTGACCCCAAAATATAGGGGGTACCCACAATCTAGGAAATATGGTCCCCATTATTTGGTCAAGAGAGCGGTCCGAAGTTTGGACCCTTAATGTTAATTTAACTTTTTGCTTATTTCGCCATATCTCCAGAACGTGTTACGCAAAATTAAAGTTTTTTACACGCACTTTTAAATAAGTTTATCCAACGATAATTATATGCAAAAAATAAGTTTAAGAGTATATTTATTATTTTTTATTATTTCATTTAATAATAGTTGAATTGTAACGTATTTATATATTTTTAGATCATTTTAAAGTAAAAAATTTTATGTGGCAAAATGCAACATTTGAGCAAATCAGATGAATAGTTCCTGCGAAATAGAATTTTAAACAAGTCGTATGTTTAAAAGTAAATTTCTCAGGAACAATTCAACCGATTTCACTCAAATTTTATATTTTGCCATATAAAATCACATACTTTAAGATTATGTAAAAAATTCCATGTCTTACAATTCAAATATTTTTCGACTATTATTCAATAAAATAAAACATATGCACGAAAATTTATTTTTTGTATGGAATTATCTTTGGAAAATGAATTTTATAAGTGTGTGCAAAATTTTTTTAATTTACTTAAAAAGTTCTCGAGATATGGCGAAATACGTAAAAGAGTAAAACTTATATTAAGGGGTCCAAACTTTTAACTGCTCTTCTGACCAAACTTTGTTCTCGAGGTCCAAACAATGGTTCACTAGGTCACCCTCGTGAACCATTAAGAATGAGTCTTATAACGTGAAGATCTGATCATAAGATCAAAAGTTATTTAAGGTCGTCCGTTTTTTTTAGAGCACTGTACATATTTGTTTATACTAACTGGATCTTTCATTCAATTACATACCACTTAAGATTTAAATAAGCATTGAGGTTTGACTTTTGATCCAAATTTTAACTAAATTCAAAAGTAATGTGGTAAGTTTTCAATTTCTTTAGAAGTTTTGTCTCTCCTGGAACACTTATTTACAACCCTGTAGCCTTTAACGACTTTTTATTCCTTGTTGTGGTCCGTAGCAATTATAATTCCCCCTTTTTTTTCTTTAAAATTCTTTCACATGACTTTAAGAAAGTCAAAAATCAATTTTTATTTAAGAAATCGCCAAACAGGAGGGCTGGTTGCTAAAGGCCGCTGAATTGAAAAATAGCTCCCGGGGCATTGGTCAGCTTCGTACTATTGACATTTTTAATCAGTTCTACATTTTCTATTTCAGATAACTCCAGCTACAAAGAATAAAAAGAAGCCTACTAGAGAAAACATGGAAGCCAAAAGGGAAAGAAAAGCTGCCAAAACTTTGGCCATCATCACAGGAGTTTTCGTGATCTGTTGGTTGCCGTTCTTCGTTACAGCATTGCTTATGGCCATATGCCCAGCTTGTGAACCGAACCCATACCTGTTCTCTTTCTTTCTGTGGTTGGGTTATGCCAATTCCATGCTTAACCCAATAATATATACGATTTTCAGTCCGGACTTTAGAAGCGCGTTTAAGCGTGTTTTATGTGGGAAGAAACGAGGCAATATGCGCTAGACAAGACTAACTTCATGGATGATTTATTGAGTAGTGCTATTTTCTGGATAAAAGAATTTTGGTATAAATACAATGACGTGGAATTTATTGAAGGAAACTTTATCACCTTTAGTTCTACGACGTTGACTGTTGAGAAAAAGAGACCCAAAAAAAATTGAGCTTCTTATGACGGTGAGCTTCAAAATCCAAAAAAGCTCAAGATTTATATCTAATGTAAATGAAACAAGATATTAACTTTTCAAAAACTTTATGCTTATGTCTTTAACGCTAGTAGAAAATAGAAAATGTTCGTAAAACTGTAAAGTGACATGTTAGTAGTAGATGTAGTTGAATTACAATGTAAGCTTTTTGAGCAGAAAATCAATTTCAGAAGCATAAAAATGTATGGATTTTTAAAACCAATGTACATTTGTAACAAGCTAAGGTGTTTTTAAAATACTGACTATACTTATTTGAGATTTAAGACATTTGTATCTAATTTCTCTAAAATTATTGTCAGTTTCTTTCTTAAAGGGCAAAGTTATTTTGTAGATATTAAAAACAAAAACTTTGTTTTCATGACTATTGCCAACAACTTTTAATCCATTGCAATAACACATTTCTTAAAATGTTCCTGAAAAACTAAAATTCAATAATTTTATTACAGAAGTATTTTGAAAAAGTTAACTAGAATAAGTCACTAAGAACACAAAATGAAACGCAATATACTGCAAAATCTATTGTAACGAAAAGATTTCCTGCAAAATGCAATACAATAATTTATTAAAACAGCAGGATTTACTGTAATGGCTAACATAATTTAAAAGAAAGCATTACTTTTACCATTAAATATAGTTATAAAATCAGTTAGTATACAGTAAGAATTCCTTTGAAGCGAAGTTTCATAAACTTTGGGTCGAGGAACCTGCATCAGGGGTTGCCACTAATTTTAGAAATTTTGATATTTCTTTAACTTATCATAATAATTTTATAATCATCAAATACATCACGATTAGAAACGACAATACAATTGTATTAGCCATGGTATCTCAGGAGATAGAGGCTCTCCCTTCAATGACATGACCCAGATTCGAATGCCAGACATGGCTGGTCGATATGCACCGACCACAGTTCTGAACTATCCCAAGTGGTAGACGGATACTGGGTTTGAGTTCCCTTGCTGTCGAACTATACGTGAGAGGTTTTCGTGCTTTTCTTCTCCATGTAACGCAAATGCCGATTAGTTCAGCAAAATTGTGGATAGGAAAAAGAACCTGAAGATAACAGTGAAATATTGAAAACACCTTTTGTTCTTGCAATTTTTCAAGATAAGATATTTCTCAGAGGCTAAAAAAATTTTTAAAAGGGAAAATGAAAGGGTAAAAAAATTCTTAATAAAACAGTGAAACATTGAAAACACTTTCTGTTTTTGCCTTTTTTCAAAATAAGATATTTTTTATAAACTAAAAAAAATACTTTGATGGGGAAAATAAAAGTCTAAAGAAATTCATTGTACAGGGTGTTCCAAAATTATCTTTACGACTTCAAAAATTCATAACTTCGAACATAAACAAGATATTTTTATTCTGTCTTTTGCATGTATTACTGCAACTAATAAAGTTTTTTTTCAATAGGCTGAAAAGTTATAAGTGAGGATGTGGACACCACAACAGAAAGCTCAATGCGTCTCATGGTTCATAGAGACGAAATCAGATAGACAGGTTCAACGGAACTTCAGGACAACTTTCCAAAGAGACCCACCATCCAGACCCTCCATCCGTGCATGGCACGCAAACTTCATGAGCACCGGATCAGTATTGCATAAAAGTGGAGCCGGACGACCCAGCACAAGTCCAGAAAATGTGGAGCGAATACGGCCATGAGACGCATTGAGCTTTCTGTTGTGGTGTCCACATCCTCACTGAAAACTTTTCAGCCTATTGAAGAAAGAAACTTTATTAGTTGCAGTAATACATGCAAAAGACAGAATATAAATATCTTGTTTATGTTCGAAGTTATGAATTTTTGAAGTTGTAAAGATGATTTTGGAACACCCTGTACTTCTGTGGGCGCAAGATTGTGGGTAGGAAAAAAAAGCGGGGATACACCGAAGATACAGTGAATCATTGAAAACACCTATTATTTTTGTCACTTTTCAAGATAAGATATTTCTTAGAATCTAAAATAAATTTTGAGGGAGAAAATAAAAGTTTAAAAAAGATAATTATATTTCTGTGTGCACAAGATTGTGGATAGAAAAAAAAGACCGGAGATACACCGAAGATACAGTGAAGATATTTCTAAGAAACTAAAAAGAATATCTTAATAGCAAAAATAATTTTTAAAAAATTCATTGTATTTCTGTGCAAGCACAATTGCAGACAGAAAAAAAAAATTCGAAGAAACAGTGAAACGTTAAAAACCCTTCTATTTTTGCCATTTTTCAAGTTGAAACATTTCTTATAATTTAAAAAAATTATCTTAATACAGAAAATAAAAGTCTAAAAAAAATCCATGGTATTTCTTTCCGCGCAAGATTGTGGATAGGAAAAAAACCCAGAGGTACACCAAAGATACAGTGAAACATTAAAAACACCTTTTATTTTCGACATTTTTTAAGATAAGATATTTCTTACAAACTAAAAAAAAATTTTTTTAATTGAGAAAATAATAACATAAAGAATTTCATTGTATTTCTTTGAGCGCAAAATGGCGAAAAAATTAGTAAATATTATTTTATTGCTCAACGTCTTTCCGTGCATATCAGCTTTTGGATTTTATTTCGGTTTCTAAACAAATTTCAATAGTTTTAATTCTAAATACGTATGGTCATTTTAATTAACATTTAGTTGTAATGAATTACAGCACATTTTAGAAGTAAGCAATAATAATGTCCATCTGGTCAATATTTTGCCAGTAATTTCTATTTTCACATTCTACTTTATTCCGTATATTAACTAATTAAAAAATAAGAAATCTTCTAAATCTAAACTATTTTTCAGTTACTTTTTCCTACATTGCAATTCCTCATTCCTTAGACCTAATTAGTTTATCCATTAAAGATATTTAATTTGCAAATTATCTCTAAAGATCAAAATCAATATCTCCAATATTTCCCCTCTTTAAATACCAAATAAAACAGGAAACTTGTTTTTCCGAAAGAAGTACTTTCAGTTTTGTAAACATCTAATTTTCTTTTATCCCGTAAGTTGGCGAAAATTAGTACGGGAGGTACTGTGTTCATTATCATACAGAAATATAAGCATTTTTAATTGAGCTTTAAGGCTTTGGAAGTAAACATAGCATAAATTTCAAGAACATGACCTCTCTTACATTAAGTAAAAATTATGCATGTTGTAAGTAGAGTGTTAATTAGCAAGATAATTTAAGAACATAAGCTTAGAAAAATGCTTCATTTAATCTTAATTTTTTTTTTAAAAAATTCTGTACCAAGCTTATTAGTATGCAGCAAGTTATAAAAGTTGCATGGAATATCCATTATTATCTTTCATATTTAATTCTAAGTCTCAGTTTCGATTAATAAATTTTTTATAAAGTATTTAAGAGATGTAGGGATAATTCATACTAATTAGACGATGTGCTGCCTTAGGAGAAAATCTTGCTGAGTGGACGACGTTTAAACTTTTCAATTTTTTGCAGGAAATTAAAAAATTGTTTACTTATTAAAAAAATAGAGTTAAAAAAAAGCTTATTCATGATTTTTTTAGAAGCATAAATTTTAATAGGGTTTCTTTTTAAATATAAACCTTTGGATCATTTTTAATGTATTGTTCGCGTTACTGTAAACTTATGTGGGCCGATTTTAATTAAGTATGTAAAATCTAAACAACATTTTTTTTAATTTTGTTTTAGGTTTTAAACTATATTATGATATTGCATGCTGATTAATACGCATAACAACTGAACATCTGAAAAATACTACATCTGAACAAAATCACGCAGAGTTCTCAATTTTTAGCAAATAAAAATTTTTACAGTAGAATCCCGATTATCCGAGTTTCAGCTTTAACAGAGCTATTAAATATTTTTTTGTTCCAATTTATTTTTTATTTTTCTATTATTCAATTATTTTATTATTATTCTAATTAATTATTTAAAGAAATTTAAATTTTATCTTCCGAACACTCAGGAAAATGAAATCCAACAACTTGATCCGATGAAATGATCGTTAATATCGTCAATAATGAAAATGAATTTAGTGAAGATGATGAAGACAGTGACGATGAAAATCAGCATGTAAAAATATCTCATGCAGTTGGACTAAAAGCTATCGAAAGTGCTATTGAATATATAGAACAAAAAGAAGAGGCGACATCAGTCTAAAAAAATAGCGAAACAAAGCTGTAGGAAAGCGCCAAAGTAATGTAAAACTAAAAACGATTAATTAAAAACTCTTTAATAAATTACGATTAAGGAAAAACTCTTTAATAAATTACGATTAAGGAAAAACTCTTTAATAAATTGCGATTAAAGAAAAACTCTTTAATAAATTGCGATTAAGGAAAAACTCTTTAATAAATTACGATTAAGGAAAAACTCTTTAATAAATTACGATTAAGGAAAAACTCTTAAGTAAAAACTCTTTAATTCGTGAAGTATGCTCTTTAAGTGTTTTTAAGTAAGCTTTTTAATTATAATATGAATTGTATGTGGTGTACTCGTATAAATTTTGTATTTGTTAAATATTTTAGATTTATACGCACTCTTTTCCATTCCTATTTTATACTCTTCACTATAACCGAGTTATTACGTTATCCGAGTTAGTCGCGGTCCACATTACTACGGATAATCAGGACTCTACTGTATATTTCAAATAATATTTTGTCATCATAAGCGCTGAATACAAGATGCGTCTACGAAGCATAAAACAAATTAAAGAGAACATGAAAACGAAATTCTTTATTTACTATCATAGTAACATCAGTTAACCATAACACACTCTTGAATCCACACACTCTAATTTTAATCACCAATTCGCAGATGTTTCATTTATTTATTTATTGTAAAGTGATCATACTAGAAAAAATATATCTAAAATAGCTGATAATTGTATGCAATTCAATTTTTATTAATTTCAGCTTATATTTATAACCGGTACTAAACTATTGATGTTTATTTAACTCGATAAATTTGTAATTTTGAAACAACTTCAGAAAACAAGGCAGTACCTAATTTAACACGTTTACACCGGGAAAAGTGAAAATACTGGTACGGGAAAAGAGAAAATACTGGTAGAAGAACTATTTCAATATTAGATAATATTCGGGAGGAGTTAATCTATTCTCAACAATAACAATTCCCTGTAAGGAAATTTATCACGGCGAAGAAGCAATTCAATATAAAAATTGCATCCGTTAAAAACGATTGGTAGTTATGGATTTTTATTATTCCCGGAAAA